GTTTTAGCGTGCATAATCTTATGAAGGAGCTTGTGTTTTGGTGGAGTACTTGAGGATAGAGAGGGGGGTGAGCAGGGCAAGGCATGAGGGATTCGGGTATGACGGAGTCGGTCGAGAGCTTACCTGTAGATGATGGTGTTGGGGCGTGGGAGGGGAGGGAAGGGAAGGGGTTGGTATTTGTGGTGACTCGATTTCCCTGATCATGACAAAGTCGGAGGAGAAGAGTAATATAGAAGAGTCAGGAACGAACCATCGTCACCGGTTAGATGACCTATGAAACTGGTAGTAGAGTAGGATAGGTATTGGGACTCTACTCTACTGGAGTATGAGTTCTGCTCGGCTCAGAAACTCTCGTCCTCGAATGTCTCCGCCGTCCGGACCACGCTCGGACTCGTCGCATCCATCAAACTCCTTCTTCTTGCCCTTCCCTCGCCACCGGCAAAATCATCCGTGAAATCTTCGGCGCTGTCGTCTTCGTCTTCGTCTGCTGCACCTAGACCGGCGCTCATGAGGAGGTCCTCGACTATGCGTTTCGATGCTTCTCTCGCTGTTGCCGTATTAAAAATAGATTGATTAGTTTTACCGCGCTATTTTTTTTCTTCCCGAGGTGAGGGGGTGGTGTGGTTTACGTACCTGGTGTTTTAAGTAGTCTACTCTGCGGAATATGGAATTGCATTGTCTTTGGTGGAGACTGGCCAAACGGTAATCCTCCGTCGTCATCATCGTCGAAGCCGTCATCATCATCACTATCCCATATTCCTGCTCCTCTTCCTGCTGTTGTACCCATACCTTTAGATCGAGACGCAGCTCCGCTTCGTGCAGCATTCGGTTTCCCCGGCGTGAGGACGCTCACTCCTGGCGTGCGCGGTTTTCGGACTGGGGAGGAGAAGATCTCGGCGTGTAGCTGAGGGGCTTCGGGCATGTTGGGGGAGGACGAAAGCGTGGATTCGAGTAGTCTGTTTCTAGCGGTTGCTAGAGGTGTTGCTGGTATGCTTGCGCCTGCTCCAGCTCCGGTGGTAGCGGCTATCCTGGAATTTTGGAAGCCGCCATATCGGGCATTGGAGATGGGTGTTGCTTGGACGCGGTAGTTTCGGTCGAGGACTCGGTGTAGGAGAGGGTCGGTCTTCTTGCGGATTGTGGAGGGTCGTGGAATTGATGTTGGGGTTTGGCGAGAGATGAGTGGGGAGTAGGTGGTGGAACTGGGGGTTGTTGTGATTCCCCCACCTTGATTGGCCATGGCAGAGGATTTTCCGGGTGTTGATGGAATTGCTGGAGTGGGTCCTTGATTTGAATTGGAGGCTGAGTTGACTTCGCGTCGCAGAGCTTCGTAAGGAGATGGGTAGTCTGCAAATGTTGTTGAATGCTGTTGTTGGGGTACTGGCTCTTTAGCCTTTGTCTGTGGTCGAGGTGTGCTGTGGGATGGGGAGATGGTCAAGGAGGACAGATCAATGTCTTCTTCGTTCTGTACCATCGAACGGCTGGCAGAAGAGGGTGTGGTGTATGACTCGCTGCCTTCAAGTGTGGTATGCGTAGATGCCGAGGATTCTTCTGTGACGGTGTCGTCGAAGGTGCCATGGGTTGACGGTTGTTCTTCATATCCGGACAGGGAAACATTGGCGCTGGATTCGAAGAACTGCTTCCAGAATTTCGACCCTTCCCATACATCGCGAGAGTGCTCGGCGTACTGTTCGACAATTGGCAGAATGCTAGACGTAACAATTCGATGGGCTCGGCTGAAATTGTGGTCGATCTCTTGGAGGGTCAGAGTGATGGATTGTTCTAGCTTTTCCAGTTCTTCAGTCAATGTCAAGGAGGACGTCTGGCGCGCCATGATGATACAGCGAGTTTCTAGCCCAGAACCGTTTCAGGCAGATTTATTCCTGGTACTATCTATGTGGCAGTCCACGTCAACATGTGGAGAGCCCTCACGCCCGGCACCAGCGTCAATTTGACGTGTTTATGTTGCTGTGGTGTTGGTGTTTCTGTTCCTCGGCAGCTCCGCACTCACCCGACGCTCATCCTCTTAATGCCGCTTCAATCACCACCTTACCCCGTCGTTCATCTTTCCCGTCTGATTCGTGGGTGGTGGCCTATCTCTTTGAAAGGTGGGAGATGGATAGGTAGACGGGAAAGATGTCGCGTTGTGTTGGGTAGTAGTTGGACTGCCTTGGGTTGTCTTGGGTTGGATGGGCTTACGACAGTCGCGGTGATGAAAGGAGTGAGTGTCAGTGAGTGGAGACCGAGGCGCGTGGTTTTGCGGATGATTTTGGAGGCTGAGCCGCGAGGTGGAGGGGAAGAAAGGGGGTGGAAGATTACAGAGAGTCTATAAGGCGGTATATACGCAAGAGGGTGTGGGCTGAGGGAAATGATAAATGACCTTTTCTCGGTGTCCAACCAACGAGAGAGCCGTTGAACATGAGGACGCTGTATGTAGTATGCCCGCGTCAAGAACAATTCGAGGCGGCTCCTGGGAGCTGTACCAATCGGGATTAGTCTGATGACATAAATTACTACGTACTACGTACTGCCTACTACGTAGTATGTTCTTACTGACTAACATAGCAGTAACAAGCACACTTCCCGTTTCGGCCTGCCCAGTGTCTCGCCAGTGTCTCGCCTGGGACTTCTCCATCTCCCCTCTATCTCCCCTCTATCTTCATCGTTTCATCCTAACTCCCGCACTAAATTAAAAATTCCCCCCTAACGCAACAGGCCCGTTGAAGCGTTGGTAGTTAAAGTGGTAAACGTCCGCTGCATAGATAACTAGATATCTGGGTCCAGGGCCCGGCAGTCAATCAGTAACAAGAACGGGGGCCAACTTGACACCCTTCAAATATATTCGCCGGTATGCTCTTTAGTAGGATGCAATTTTGTCTTTAGAATCAGCCAGAATGACCATGACTCATGAGAATACATGAACCTTCGTAGGTCTCGATCTTTCATCAAGTCTCACTCCATCTACGTCACTCTCGAGAGCATTAGGCTGAGGCATCTGGTTCCCTTATCGCCACATCACATCTCCTTGACTCAGATATAACAACCGTGACGCCTCCAAGATTGGACGCATCCTGCTCTACTTCAATTTCGCATGCGAAGCCAGTCGAGCCTATTTTGCTTCCCCCATCAGGACGGAAGTGCCAGCATACTACCTCCACCTCCCTCCCACGCCCATCAAAGCCCGCTTCGACATGCTCGAAGAATCCACTGAGACCTCCGACGAAATTGATACGATGGCTCCAGAGCTGGGCAACCCATCCACATGGACGTCTCTCGGACTCTCGCTGTCCATTGTTGGTCAACGTCCCGCCATCATCCTCCCCAATCGTCTTAACCACGACTGGCAGAAACGTCTCATCGAAAAGGGCCGCAAAGAAAGTGTCAGCGTCAACCCGAATTTTGAAGTTGGACGGCTTGTACCCATTGAACGCCAGGAAGGAAATGTGGTCTTTGCTAATTTATAGGTGAAGTGAATGTTTGCCCTTGCAAACCAAACGTTATGAGCTGGGAAGGCCTAAAAGATAAAAGGGCCCGGTTCTGCCCGACGAGATGAAAAATGGCCTTCTTGCTAAGCTGTACAGCGGAATCAGTTTGGACAAGCCGTTCGATCATCCTGAAATCCTGGCCGAATGTCACGAAAATGGCACGGTGGCGCATCTCATTGCACGATCTTTCGGGCGCATCTCCGATCCGGCTCGTTCCGTTTTACCAAATTCAGAATCACGTGGGACAATCGACTAGAGAAAGTGAGCCAGCGCTTTTCCTCCTTATCCAAAGCCGTCTACCCTGCAACACATACACAGTCTTCCAGGGAAAGAATACGAATTGATATCGCTACCAGAGTCAGAAACGCCAGGTAGAGTAGCTACACTACTGCGCAAACGGAAGGCGTAGTGATGGCAGATATGAAGGCTGAAAAGCGGTATAAAAGTCTCTACACCCCACTTGACTCGTCGAAACGGGAAATTCGAGTTTTAGGATTCGTCAATAAGCCACTGGAAAAGAAGAGGGAGAGAGAAGACCCCGTCAGCCTCACTTTGAGCGTTGTTTCCCTGGACGATCCCGGCCATCCGCCCTTCAGCGCTCTCTCGTATGTGTGGGGTAAACCTGTTCACAATAATCACGTGACCGTCGATGAGGTTCAGATGGCTGTCACTGATAACCTCCACCTGGCACTACACCACCTGCATGGATCTCGAGCTGAAGAGAACTGGTGGATCGACGCTCTTTGCATCGATCAAGCAAACCTGGACGAGAGAGGCAGTCAAGTACAGATGATGAGCGACATTTTTGGAAGCGCTGCCATTACCGTCGCACATATTGATTTCTCCGTGTTCAAGCCGAAGCCCCAGGTCTCTATGAGCCTGCTAACCACCATGGCAAAGCTTCGGGGGAAACGAGAAGCGTTGGAGTGGCTCACGAAGGTTCGACGCGACCCTGACTTCAACGCGCGTTGGACCGAACTCTATCTCTTGTTCGAGAACGTATACTGGAGACGAGTTTGGATCCTACAAGAGCTGATTGTATCTCGGAATTTAGAATTTTTCAACCCGGATGGTCCTTGCCTGGATATTACTACATTCGCCCAGGCGCTTCAAATCTTTGAAGACATTACCCCTCTGAAACTCAAACTCGGGTTGCACATAAGTCATCAGATCCGGCCCATATACGAGGATCTGAAATTTCGGGCCATGTACTGGGAGAATAGGACACCGCAGCCCCAAGGGCTTAGGCAGATGATCATGAACTCTCTACGACTGCAAGCCACCGACCCGCGGGATCATCTCTTTGCACTCCTTTCCTTTACGGAAGATGGACCAGAAGTCATCGGCCGCGCAGCGTATGAAAGTGCCCCCAGTCATGTTTTTGCTGGGTTTGTGCAAAGATACTACCACAAATACCAAAGTTTAGAACTCATACTACTGGGTGGCTGCAAAAGGAAGCTGATCGACTTACCTTCATGGGCTCCAGATCTGTCGGCGTATGAAACACATGTTAAAGGAAACATTATGATCCATGAGAAGATCCAAGAAAAGAATTTCCCTATCACCTTGGTTGTGCAGTCTCTCCTGCTTGCTGCCCCTTTTCCGAGCTCACCTGTCAGTTTTTCGGACGATAACCGTACTCTGACCGTGACAAGTATCCAGATGGGTGAAATTACGGGCCTGGGCGGGTACACCAAAGGCTCTGTCGCACGCACGATTGATTCAGCCATGGGGGTAAGACAACTTGATAGCACACACGCCAAGAATAGCGAACTATCTTCTTCCTCCCTCGATCGCAACGTTCTTTTCGAGAACCTGGCTCAAATCCTCACACTTGGAAGTCTTCCTGAAATTTCAGGCACAATACCACCGATTTTACTCGGCCAGGCCTTGACCGTGCTGCTTCACTATGCTGAGGAGCCTCATGAATACGAAAAACGGCGTCAATTGGGGGTGTCCACGTTATCAGGGTGGTGGGATTTGAACAAGGATCTGAGTATTGATAACAAGACTTTGCTCTCCTGGCTTTTAGGCGATAATCTTACCTTAGAGGAGCGCGAGGACGAGCTTGTTCGCATGTTTCGGACCACCGTCTTGGAGTATGAAGACACCGTCATAGAAGACGCATTTGTTTTCCTCAAACGTGTCTATCTCCGAATACGTTTTGATACCGAGATGGTGCAACGGGTAATAGTGTATACACAAGATGGGGAACTCGGTTCCGGGCCAGCGTACTGTAACCTTGGGGATGAGATATGGATGCTTTATGGCTGTAAGATCCCAATGATACTGCGACCACTACCTGATATGAATGGGTTTGAGGTGGTGGGAGAGTGTGTCATGTATGATTTTATGGTTAAAGAGATGCCAGTGTTGGCGAGAAAACCTGAAAGATGTACAATTCGTTAACTGCCGCCGGCTTGGTGGCCAAGCTCCATTTGAATCGAAACCACTCTCAAAACAAAACCTCGGCGGAAGTGGTCAGGCTGTTCCTTAGGTCTCAGGTCCGGCTCTGTGTTAGGCTTGGAGGACGTGACACTGCACCCATATCACTGCTGCTGCAGCTCAAAGTCACATGTACTTCATGATTTGGTCAACCGACTCTATCCGAAGACGTCGTCTCACCAGCCACAAAGCCATGAAAGTGTAGAATGCCACGAATTGAGGCTCTCCTCTTACCAGGCAGGTATACAAGAAGCGGAATGTATTTTTAGTAGTAGATAGTTTATAAGCATTTAGGAGTAGCTAGAATATACATTTAAAGAAAGAATATGAGAATTCGAGAGTGTGTGCAGTATCTAAATCATTGCAAAGTCGAAGTACCGTTGATTTGTCCCATTGCGGCGGGCGTCCCACCGCGCTGGGATGGACGTTGACATCCAGGTGAGAATTGTGTAACGTAGCTAGCCACCTGACACATGCGACCAACGAATCTGAGTCTAACAGTACGTGATTCGGCGATTTGACCAGTGTGGTGCACATCGGATCCGGATAGAATAATCTGTCAGATTGCTATCATCGGATCCGGCCATAGTTGGGAAATTTTGAAATTTTGAAATAAGCTAAGGACGTTACGCTGATCGCCAAGTATTCGCAGTGAGTTATTACGTACATATGGGCTTGAGGCTAGCATATCAGAATCTTCATCTCGTGGCCCTTGATGGCATGCTTCCGTTTTCCAAGCCATGGTATCAAAATAGGGTGTCTGCGAAGACATACTTGCCCTGATTGGTTAAGCGGAAGGAAGTAACGTTCGTTAAAACAGCACTTAGATGACGCTGTGACGTGCGACGGTTGACCAATTAGAATTCAACATTCCAATAGCATTATTTTGCTAGGCCTTCTACCGCCATTTGGGGAGAACAAAGTACCAACTAGTCAACAACCGCGTGCCTGGTCCTCGAGTGATGCGCTAGCTTAGACTCAAACTCCAGGTCCGATGGTCCGTGTTACAGGGATCAACTGGGCCAATTGGTATCTTCCATGACTTTTAAGCTCATCCAACAAAATTTGACAAGCCGAAATGCGGGGAAGATTGTATGTCCATTGTTCAATGCCCATGGGCCATGGCCAATGGTTCACTTCGCATTGTCGTAGTTCACCAGTCTACCGTCTACCGGCTGTTTCCTATCTCATCATCATTCCTACCTCGTCTTGTGATCTAAGGCACCTTGTGCTAGTTAGAGTACACCGCCAACTTGCCAAACCATTCATCATGACCGGTTATCTGATTGCGAATTGCTTGGTCAGTGTTGATGCGAGGGGAAGAGGCAGGAAGCAGCAAGTTGAAGGAAAGACACCGGCAGCCCGGAATGGCTCAGTGTTGTCTGTTCATGCTCGCAATCCGCTCCCAACAGCTTACTCTTGCTTCCTACTGCTCCATCTTAGCAGACACCCATGCTCAAGGCCGTTATCAATGCCATGCCGTTCCTGATATCTACCTGAATATAGTCCACACACCCCTTGCAAAATCAAGGATACCCTGAGGCATGGGGCGTACCATGTGGCGCTCTCCTCGTGCAGACACATGCTAGTGCCAACCAATCACTTTAGCTTGCATGATCGTTGGCTGTCGTCCTAAATTCCTGATCGAAAACTCTGTGATTTCGGATCATGGAAGACGAGCTACGGCCCCAGAAAATGGAAGCTGTAAACAGGGACTAGGCCCAAAGATCGCTCTAGGGCTATCGGGATAGGAGTACGAGGTACTCGGTGCTCTTTTAGCCTACTGTTGTGGCAACCCCAGATCAGGGTCGAAAAGGGTGCTATCCTCCCATTTCCAATCTGGGGGTGCTTCCTTCAGACTGGGCCCCTTCCGCCTATCAAAAGAATGTGGACCTCCCATACTTGTACATGACAGCTCCACCGCGCGGCGTCAGCCAACCTACAACAGCAGAGAAAAGGGAGTCCGTGTCCCTATAGGCAATCATAGCTGTACAGTTCAGAGATATTGCGTCCTTGCGAGAATCGAGATCCTTAGAGATCCCACTGCAGAGTCCGTGGATCGGCGTTGTTCGTTGAGGTGCAACACTCCATGTACAGAGTCCCCTGACAATCTATGTTTGTGTTCGCTCTTGTGCCCACATTTCCTCGCACTTCTTCCCGTGCTTCAGATTCAGAGATGGCACCTTCAGCAATAATACGGCCTGGACGCAGCTCAGTTGTCCGTCGGTACCTTGAGGGTGAGCCAGGCTCATGGCGAAAGAACGCTACGGAAGATGCCTTTATCCTCGAATCATGGGGTCAAGGCTTCATTGTCGGCGCTCTATTGATCATGGCTCTCATCACCATTTCAAACATGAAAAGAGGGATTTTGTTGCACAAATTGATCTTTATCGAGGTACGTGGAGAGCTGATGGAGAATCTGTGTTCGTGTGCGTGCTGATGTCTCCTATCAGCTCATTCTCGCCCTTTCGCATGGCACGTTCTGCTTCATGAGCTTTAAGGGGTACGGCTGGTACCTCTCCGCCACCGCGGGACTTCTATACCTCTCCACCCTCGTCCATAACGTGGTGGCGTGGTTGAAGATCAGACCATTCTTGACGCGAAGAGGGAGTATAATATTCATTGGCTCGTTTATTATGACTATCCCGCCCGTGCTCTTTCAAAGCATCAACAACTTCCTCTTCTTCAACAACATTAGCGACCTGTACACTAGAGTCAGACCATATGAGGCTTTGATGAGGTTGGTTGATGTGCTGTCGCTCTCCATCTCTATGCTGACAACATCTCAGAGATCCATGGTGGATGTTTTCCTGCTTCTTGTTCTTCTACGTGATCAAAACGCGTTACACAGTCACGTTCAGAAGCCTGATGACGGGACAACCACGTTTTGCCATCATGATCACGTCTATGATGTTCTCCTTCATCTTCTCCTTCACTGATGCGCTCGTATCTGCAGTCCCCAGCTTGTCTAAAGTCAACGGGTAAGATGATGTTGGAGATATTGCTCGATGTCCGTTCTGACCTACAATATCACAGAGTCAATCCCTATTGGAAGCTCGCTTTGGTGTTTAAAGCTCTAACGGATACGATCATCCTGGACGACTTCAAGACGTGTCTTGACAGGTTGCGCACCAGGATGTTTGACAGCCAAGGCGACTCACTGCCAGGACCAGGATCCCATTCGCAGAAGGAGTATGCGCCGAAGGAGAGGCCTGCGACAATTATCACGCCCACAGCAGAAAACTCATCCCACGTGGTGACGACTCAGACTCCTAAGGTAAGCAGCGCAATAGCCATGTCTGAAACTGGTGCTAACACATAAGTCCAGCCGCCTGGGACCGTTCGGCGAGCCATGAGTCGCGTTGGCACTCATCTCTCGCCATTACAACCTGCCTACCAGATGCGCCCCGACATCCACCCCTACGAGCTGAGTCCCAAACCTGTCATCCATATAAAGACAGACTTCAGCCTTGATAAATTCGCCAAGAACGGAGCCCGATCGGCGTCGGTCCCGGAGTAAGTCCCCTGGAACCGCTATTCCCTCGGGCAGACGGATTCGGTCGAGGTCGGACAGTCCCTTTCAATGCCGCCGTGAGCATGGATTCATAGAACAGCGGATCATCAATGCCCACCTTGACCGAGGACCATTCCAACACAGACAAGATATCGCGAGATCCCAGCAACGGTCATGTCCGCCACCCTCATGGAATGTGACGATCGGCCCGAAGGGGCATGTTTCTTACATTGGCTTATCATTCGTCAAATACCCAGCTTATCATAATGTAGACAAAAGGAGAGAGAAAGTAATGCTTGAGAAGATTTGACTTGATTGGACAAGAAGAAAAAGGACTTGGCAGCAATGTGTTTGGAAGAGGGGAAAAAGGAGGTAGCGGCGGTATTTCTCAGCTGGTGATTTTGCTGTGTTGGGAAACCCTCTGTTTGAACTTCCTTGTTGAGGGTGAGGGCTTGGGGGCTATCTAGGGGCGGGAAATATACTAGAAGTTCAGTGGCCACATTATATCCAAGAACAAGTCTAATCCAGTAATCACTCGCAGCGCCAACTGCTTCATAGCGGTGCTTTCCGGCCATTTGCCTGGCAGCCCTCCGATTTGTCTCTCGTTGCGAGCTGAACTATTGTTCCATGGCAGAAATAACGGGACATCTTTCTCCATATACTCTTCTCCTTCTCCTTCCTACGAGCGTGCGAAAACGGGGGAGTTGAGGACGCACCAGTGATCCGACTCCTCTATTGACCACCTGCAAAGTGCAGCAGCCGGTAATCCTGCCGAATCAGTCGTCTTCTTTCCGCTTATAGACCGTGACACATTTTCCTGTTCTTGGACGTAGATGTACCTGAAGTCGACCAGTCTGGATCATCCTCACCTTGCGGCCAGTCATCATCAGCATATGGGATTCCAGATTTCTAGGTACTACCCTGTAACGAAGACCAGCTATCACTGGCTCATGCTCCCAAGATTTATGCCTCCTACCGTAATAGACGTTTCCAAAGCCATCATGTCGACCAATGTCAGTCTCGTAGAAGTTATGTACGTAGTATGGAGCGCTGGCACAGCGGAGAAATCTATCGATGATGTCTTCTTAATAAATAGCTGGGGATAGCACAATATGCCTAAACAGTATGCTCCACCTGGATCTCGATTGCCGCTAGAACGCGACGTTGAGTATGACTTGATAAGGAAGCGGATAAGCACTGCCACAGCTGCAATGTTGTTAGCGCTCATAGCCCCCCCAAGCCAAGTGGTAAGAAATCATGTCCGCACTCTTCTCCACAAGCACTCGGAATCCGGCGACTACGGGAAAAGAGCGGCCATTACTTTCTGAATCAAGCATTGGCCAGATCTTCCTACGAGGGGTATTGTGGCGGTGCACTCGGACCAGTCGATGCAGGTGATGACAGCCTCGAGCTCCAAGTCCGTTGTCTGCACAATCTCTCTCAACTACCGGTACACTCAGTGTTGTTGTCTTTCTATGGCAATAGACCAATCTCCTCAGCTTATTGTTTCCCTCAAGACTCAACTCTCTATATCGTAAGGAGCAGCTCTTAGACAACATGCCGGCGCCACTGGCCAAAGGTAAATACACATTCTGTCCTCTGGCCCTTGCCTCAGTTGTCTCCCTTAAGGCTGTGATGATCTTGCACATACTTCTTTGTTGCTCAGCGTCCTCCGTTCTGTCTCCTAAGTGGAATTCTAACTGACCATGGCTGCACATGCAGGCTTAATCGTTCTCGCCGTCGTTGTGGTCGCTGCTGGAGCTGCCGCATATGAAAACCCCAATGTCCGAGAATGGCTAGAACACTCTCGGAGAAAGATTGCCCATGCTTTACACTCCCTCGGCGATGAGATCAACCCGAGGGTTAAGCAGTCTGGACGAAATGATCCTTCCATGCAGGAAGACGAGACCCAGGCTGCAGAAGAACGAAGGCGCCGTGCCCGTGCCGAGATAATGGAGAAGGGGAGGATCATGGAAGAACGGCGGAGGAGGAAGAGAGGCTCTCAGGATTTACCGAGTCCAACTGGTAGCTTTGACACCCTAGTCGATAAGGATGGAATGTTGAAGAAGGCTGGGATGGTGGACAAGGACGAGGCAGATGCTACAACCACAGCTGTAGAACCAATAGCGCTCACTGAAGGTCTCACGAATCGACGACCGGACTCTCCAGCTGCGAAGGCACTCCATGAGTCGGTCGATGCCCCCATATCGCTACGTCAGCTATCCACGTCGCCAGATACTGATTCTGAGGACCCATTCGTGACCGAATACGAGCGTGAAATGCGCAATGCTTGGAATCTCCCTCTTCCGCCGCAGCCTGCCCCAACAGCGAGTTCTGCGCACGAGTCCGAGTCTCTTATAGACTTTACGCCTACCTCTGAATTCCCGGATCCAGAAATCATTATCCCCCACGGCACAACGGGCAACGACCATGCGCTCGAGCAAACAGAATACTTCTCCATCGCCTCGAACTCATCTCACACCTTGTCGGAAGCTCAATTCAGCTCCCCCCCTGTAGTTCTCCCTTACGCCTCTCAATCTCACCTGCAGCCGGCATCAGCTAGCGCAAGCATAGCCGATAGTATCGATCATGTACAAGCCAGCGATGTTGAAGGATCGGTAAGTGATGACGGCGTTTTGAGCGAATTCGGAGATGGTATCAGAACCCCGGCAAGTGGATGGACTGATGTGGGCAGCGTGGTCAGTAGTGATGCTGGGCAATGATTCAGGTTTGCTTTGTCTTTTGCTATTCTTCCTCAATCTATCCTTTTATATCTAAGCTCAGAAGTCATTCCCCAAGCCTGGTTCCGTTCGATTCTGCGGCCGATACCGAGGTCAGACGACTCTAGAGAGGCGCAGCTCCATGTGACCATTTAGACACGGATTGGTGGTCAGGGTGTGACCGTGAGCCGCGCGAAGATCTTCCTTGTGCTCCGCTCCCTCCGTAAAGACTAAACCCATATCAAACAGTCCGAGTGCTCTAAGTTCCGGAGACGACGTCGAAGCGGCCTGATCCAACAACTGCATTTCTATTTGCTTCCTCTCGACCTGCTTCTACTGCTCTTCTCCCTCTTCCTCCGCTTCGTCCAGCAGCACCAACACCTCCCCTCTCTTCCCACCACCAATTCTAAACATGTGATATTCGTCGATATCCCATCCTCATCTTGGTAACTCTGCAAGACCCCGTCATGAGCCTGCATTGGCCTACACCCCAGCGGATCGACCACGATGTTCGCTCGTATACGGGAAGAAAGTGAAGCCAGAAACACCAGACTCAAACCCCAAAATCCTGAAAACACAGCGAAAGAGAGACAAAGAGGAAGGGCGAGATATGTAGTGGAGTAAAGATAGTCAACCACGAAAATATATCATGAACCAACGCAGATCAAACTACCTGTAATGTATCCTTCCATCCATCCATTCACTCGTTCACCCAGCCTGACCTGTCCGAGTCTGCACAGTCTATCTGTCTGTCTGTAGCATATCATGTGATGTCATTTCATTTCATTTCATTTCATTTCATTTCATTTCATTTCATTTCATTTCATTTCATTTCATATTTCATTTCATTTCATTTCATCTCAGTACTGGTCCTGGTCCAGGTCCTGGTCATGGTCATGCCCATTGTCCGATCTCTGCAGCAGCTGCAGCAGCAGGTTTCGACGCGTGGGCGGCTTCGAGAGAGTGGGCTCTCTGTTTACTGTGACATTTTAACTGAGCATTTTGAGTGCAGAAACCTCATATCATGTCATATATTTTTCGTAGCTAGTGAGTTATCCAGCTAGTTGGCCTGCCTGGAGGTAGGTGGGGAAGTTTCCAGGAGATGCTATTTGTAGTAATAGGAGTCGTCCCTGGCTACGCGAAAGAGAACAGGGGCGTCAGTCTGGTCTTGAATCGCGGGTACTGCAAGTTAGATTCAGCTACTGGATTCGGTGGAACAGATCATCGCAATCTAGTCCTGTGTGATATACGTACATAGTAAAGAGTCAGTCAGCTTCACTCGTACAGGGTTCGGCGAGTATGATCAGGGGAGCAAGCACCTACGTCGTGATTGAAGCAGTTGCTAGGATATAGGAGTAGCTCATTGTCATTCTCATCATTCTTCTCATCCTCCCTCATCGTGCTTCAAGTTCTACCTCAATCAAGTAAATGCTCATTGCTGAACCTCTTCCCCTTCCCCTTCCCCTTCCCTTCTCTCCCTCCTCTCTCCTGCTCCTTCATCAGCCGTTTCTCCTTCCTCTCCCGCCTGCGTCTCGTCTCTCCCGCTGCTCCACTCTGAGCAGATCCTTCCGCTCGTGTCGTCGGGTGCGTCGCAACCTCAAGCCAGCGAATACATGTGTGCAGAGTTCCTCGGACTCGGGGTCAGACTCAGACTCGGATGCAGATCCTCCGTGGTGTGCATCGTGTTCTGCTTGCCCTGTTGGCTGCCTCTGCCTGTCTGTCTCTTCACCAGCATCCTCAGGGGTTAGCTTTGGACCTGGCCGTAATTCCCCCTTCTTCTTTTTCTTCGGCTATCTCATCTTTACTCATCACCTCTACCATGTCTCTTTCGTCTTCCACCTCACTCTCCTACTCTAGCTCTCTGGTGTCTGTCCGCGCCACAGACTCCAGCCTCCGTATCTTTACCCTAGCCTTTACTCTACCCTTTACCAATCTCGGTCGTACTTCAGACTCTGATTTTGTGTTATCCTTTTTCACCTCTTTCTCCTGCTCGGGCTCTTTAGTTTCTGTCGCCGCCCTGGACTCCAGCCTCTGTATGTTTAACCTAGCCCTTATCCATCTCGGTCGTACCTCAGACTCTGATTTTGTGTTATCCTCTTCCACTTCCTTCTCCTGCTCTGGCTCTCCGGTATCTGTTGCCGCCCTGGACTTCAGCCTCTGTATCTTTAAGCTAGCCTTTACCCATCTCGGTCGTACCTTAGACTCTGATTTTGTGTTATTTTTCTTCATTTTCTTCTCCTGTTTTGGCTCTCTCGTATCTGTTGCCGCCCCGGACTCCAGCCTCCGTATCTGTACCCCAATCCTTACCCATCTCAGTCGTGCCTCGGACTCTGATTTCGTATTATCATCTTCTGCCCCATCCCTCCCGTCCTCCTTCTCCTCCTTCTCAGCCTCTTCATGTTGTCCAACCTGTTCTTCCACCTTGTTCGCACTGTCCACCTCTTTCTCCTGCTCCCCCTCATGCATCATCCCTGTTATCCGTTGATAACTTGCTCTTAGCTTGTAAATTATTGAACCAGCTACACGTCTCAGCCGTACTTTGAACTCTCCTTTCGTATTATCCTCTCCCGCTTCGTCATCCACATCGTCAACCTCTCTCCCCTGGTGCCTCTCCTCTTCCTCCTCTTCTTTGATCTCTGGCGACACCTTATGCCTCTGCCTCCGTATCAACCCAGCTACATATCTTGGCTGGACTTCGAGCTTTCCTTCCGTGTCACGCTCTTCCACTTGGCGATTGTCGTCCTCAGTCTCAGCTACAGCCTGTTCATCGTTCTGAGCCTCTTCTTCTATCTGATCCTCAACCTTCATCTCTCGCTCCTCCTGCACCTGTTCCACCCTCCTCAACCTCACAATCCTCTTCGTAGTTTGCTTGAAACCCGCTACCCCTAATGCCCGCCCAGACTGCATATCTAACCCTCCGAAAGCCTCCTTCACCATCTCCAACTCCCCGATCCCCCAAACCCCAACCCCATCACCACCCATTTCGCCTCTGCTTTCTAACCACCCACCCGCCTTCTCCATCAGCTCTGAATTGTCATTCCTCGTCGCAGTGAGCAGGGCATTCCGGCAAAGCCCCGTGTTCGGAATGATATAGTTCGTGTCGACGTGGCTGCGCCAGAGATAGAGAGTAAGATCGAGATGGAGGGCTTCAGCGGCAGAGTCGAGGATGTAGGAGATGCAGACGTTACTGATGGGGAAGTTGTTGTCGTGTAGCAGGTACAGGAGGTGCAGGATTGCAGTGTGATCGGCGATGGCTGGGGAGGCGAGACGGTAGAGAATGGTTGTGTAAAGGTATTGCGGGATGGCGGTTTGGAGTAGCGGTGATATTGGAGGAGAGGTGGAAATGAGCTGTTCGAGGTTTGCGATGGCGAGCTCGAATTGGTTGAGACGGGTCAGGCAGAGGATTAGATGTACTGTGTTGGTTACGGATAGAGAGATCCACTGGGAGAAGAAAGCTTGAATAATTCGAGGTAGGAGTTGGGCGTCTGGATGGATGGAGAGGACTTTGAGTACGGCGCTCAGGGTGGATGCACTAATGCCAATTCTTTCTCTCTCCATTTCGGCCAAGATGGGATGGAGTGCAAGGGCGGATCCGTGGTGCGCTTCGCAATTGGCAAGGATCAGGGCTTCGTAGTGGTGAGCTTGCGGCTGGACGTGACGGACTTTGATGAGCTCGCTGAGCATAAATTGCACTCCATCCACGTTGGGCCTGTGATGTGCAGTGTGGTGCAATTTCTGTTCGATATCTTCGACCGAGGCCGCGCGGATTGCCTCATGGAAGCGGCGCCCGTGGTCAATCCTTTCTCCTTTCTCATTTAGCCGTTGATCTTCTGTGGATGAGCCTCTGCGCAGCCTCAGTCTTGGTCTTGTTAGGATGTACTTTGGATTCCGTAGGCGGATATAAGTAGAATCCGTGGTAGGCAGACTTTGTGCTCCAGTAAGGTTCCTGCGTACTTCCCTTCTCGTACTACGTGCAGAGCGAGATCTTCAATGTTGTCTGGTTGTCCCCTTCAAAAGCATTGTTCTGTGACTGTGAGTTCTGAGAGTGCTGCCTTAGGGTGTCTTTCATTTGCTGCTCCACTCCAGCAGCTGGCTTATCAACTTCGTGCTCTTGTTGAACATCTATTAGATCCCCCAAGCGAACTTCTCTTGATCCTGGCAGTCCAGGAAGTTGGAATTGTTGGGTTGGCAGGGGTGGCGTACCCTCCGCAACCCAGGTTCCACGTCTATCGTTCTGCGCAGCATTGGGATAATGCCGTACTGTGTCAAGCTCTTGCTTAGGAGCTTCGCTTTTGTTCTCCCTGCTCGACGTTGAGCTTCCCTCCAGATCTTTGCCGGTAGTTCGTGATACATAAACACCCTCCGCTGCATGCCTTGTTGACCTGTTCTCACCCCCCTGGTACGATTGGAAGAATGGAGAAGCCCAAAAGACAGCTTTCGAATTAGTGCCTGCCTTCTCGGGTTCATTGGTGGAATTTGGATCGTTAACTCCTCGATCTTTTCCTATGATGTGTGGTTTGACGGTAGTTTCTGCCAGAGTCGAGGACGATTGATCTTTTTCTCTGTGCGCTGTCGCATCGTTGATGGACGCCTCGAAATTCTTTGTTTCCGAAGCATTGTTGTTCTTCAGCCCGGCTGCAGCTGAAGTCGGCCCTGCGCCCGCAAGCGATGTGTGAGTACTCGAGCGGGCGTGTTGGCCATGATAAGGGATGAAGCTGGATCTTCCGCCAACAAGGTGAGCACCAACTGGTCTAAAACACCTCCTTACCACAATGCAAGCACCTAGCATCACCAGCCATCTGCGTGGTGTTGACAGAATCGAGACGGGCGAGAGGATACTTTCACGGAACCTCAATTCAAAACCGCGCAGCCGAGACAATGATAGCTCGAACTACTTACTAGTCCTATAGTAGTATAGTAGGTTAGGCCAAGAGGGTAGATCACGTGGTTAAAAAGGGGCTGCTGGTATTGGGGGGCGAGGTCTTTGCTGTACTACTAGTATCAGTATGAACTAACATAAGCCATAGCAAGCGACAGGCTTCATCAACTACAAAAGAGCTGTTGAGCTTTGTGCCGTGGTAAGAGTACATACAATCAGCGTCAGGCGTAGCATATTACATATGCAATCTAGACAGTCTTGCGCTTCTCTGAACTTTCATTAGATAGGTGCTTTCGAGAGAGCTCGTGGCGAGCACTCAGTCCAGCTGACCGACAGAGTAGGGGGAAGCGTGCAGTGATTTAGACCTGCCTGTCATTGTAGTCGTAAACAAAGTGTGCTCCATTAAGCAAAAATTCAAATCGAGCCAAAAGCAAAACCTTGAACCCGAGCTGTCTGGTAGACAGGTCAGGATCAGGAGAAATCCCCAATGAAGGGATTTTTTCGTATGCGAAGGAGAGGAGGAGGAGGAGGACTGGTATCTGGCTTCGGGGGGTATGTGCCAGCGTAACAGTTGTCGGAAAGTGGGTTCGAACTCGTTGCCTTTGGGAGGGACTGTCGATTTCGTGGCGAGGTAGCGAGGGTTTTAATCCCACTACACCACTGTGCCAAAGTTGAAATGACAGGGAAAAGATAAAATATAAACACCGTTTGGTTGAACACCGGCGAGTTCAAGTTGGAACGTGCAAAGTTGCCTGTTTGGGAAATTGGCGGAGCTAAAATGCTGGTTTTGGATGAGAGCGGTTGCCATTGAGCAGAAGGACGAAGTTTTCCTGGCGTTCAGGGACTGGTTGATGAAATTCATGTCGCTGTTGGAACAATCACGAAGAGTCCGACGTGGCTGAGGTCCTGAGCAGTATTCCTTGCCCACAACGAGACGTTTGATCACATCCTTCTTGCTGACATCTGTATTTACTTGGAAGCTCTTGCTGTTATGGCTTTTGGCGCTGCGCCGTCAACAGTTCCGTCCAAAGCAGCTCCCATCCTCATTGTCCTCCTCTACCCCTACCACGTCCTCTCGCACCACGACCCGCACCTCGTCCTCTATCACCCCGTCCACCCGAATCACCCCGCGAACCACCACGACCACGACCTGAAGACTGTTGATTTTGTTGTTGGTCTTTGATCTGGTCGACAATCTCTTCAGGTACTCTAAGGTATTTGATCTGTCAAGCGTCAATGGATCATGTACTACCAGACATCGTGCTGTTTTCGTACGTTGTTCCCTCTTATGTAGACCTCCGGTAATCTGAAGAACCTGTCACCTTCTGGACTAGTCTGTACCACTTCCTTCAGGGTCAAATTCATCCACGTATCGCAGTTGATAAGGTGGCCATTCAAGGTCTCGCCATTTTTCAGTTCGACAAGCACAGGCTGACCTTGAGCCGCAGTGAGCAGCCCCAGAGGGAGCTAGAGGAAGGCAAAATCAGTCAGGCCCTGAATTACAAAGTTGAGCATGAGCGCATGGCCAGGGGGATCACGGGAGAAGCTTGAGCTTACCATAGTGAAATTGCAATATGTGAGAACAGTGACTGCTTACTTGCTGGTACTGAGGGGGTCAGAGAAGAGATTGCTCGCTCTGCCGCAAGCAAAGCCTCAATGCGATATGCTCCAGAAACTCTCCCTCAGCTTCACGTGAATGTAGCTACTATTTAGCGGGCTTCAATGCTTGTACGAGGCTTAGCATGGGGGCCGGAGGGCTGTGATGTGTGATGCATCTGGTTTGGGTTTAAGGCGACTCGTCATCAGAAGCCCTATCGGTGATCGGCTGAACTATGCCCCCATAACTAAGTTATCCGCAACGCTTTACATAAGATGCTGGCTCCACCCAGGCACCAGTTTTCTGGACTCGGTAGCTCTCGTTCGTACCACTCACTCTCTTACCCCCTAGGCTTGGGACCTCCATCAGAAGGCCAATTTGGACACGCGTTTGCTTTTAATTAGTCTTGTTGGGATTTGTGTATATCCATGTGCAGGGTTGCAATATGAAGTTGTCCTTTTCATGTGCTATTCTTTTCTCTTCTGTCCCCTCAGCCCTATCACGTCTATTAGATTCCGCTAGATCAGTCAGCCATGGTTCAAGGGATATCTTGACCGCCGTTGGGGCTAGCAGTATGACAGCTTCTGGATCTGTACATTCTTATACTTGACTTATTAGTCCCCAGGCAGCGATGAGGTATCTCTTCGTTTCGAAGCTCCCTGTCATGGCTGCTTCGCTGACGGAGCCAATGGCTTAGTAGGTTTACGTGTCTTTTCTGTTCGCTCTAGGCGCTGACAATTCCTTCATAGATCTTTGACATCGCTATCCACAAGGCAACAGAAGCTTGTGGAAACGGCCGTATACATATTAATGGCCAAGAGTTCTACTGGCTAGGTAATCCTGCTGAGGGTGCTGGCACTATTCAGACGCCCCTCGTCAACGCTCTTGGGAATCGTGGACTCAATGCGACATGGAATGCGACATGGAAGGCATCATGTATCAACGACGAAGCACAGATTCTATCACTCCAGATTAACCGGCCCGCTGAAGACATCATCAACCGTGGCTCAGGTTTCACCATCTCATTCAAGCAACAAGAGCAGCCAGAAATCTTCCGACTGGTTGGAGAACCTCTTGATATTAGCAATCCTGAAAACCTTGCAGCACAATGGACTCATCCGGACCGGCCACAGTGCTTTACCCTGGCTCCTACTCCACCCAGTACGGGATGTGAAAATCTCGACGACGAATATGCAGAGCTCAAGGCTCTGAAAGCTCGGTCACACGACCTCCAAAAATTGATCCGGGAGAAGAAAAAGAGGATACATCAATTGCTTTGCGATGATTTTCGTACATTCTGCTCCAACCTCAGCAAGTGCGGGAGCTTTAAATGCGTTTTTCGAACCATGCTGAACAAGCTACCTGAATATGCTCATATAATCTCACTTCATTTCGGACATCACCTCGAGGGAATCCGAAAGCAGGGAGACGAGCCTATGTTATATGGTAGGGAGTAATGTCCCTTTCATAGCTCGGAGCTTTCGCTAATGCCAGCAGGACACGATGAGATCAACACATCTCCTGAAGAGTACGACGACCTCGATCCGTCTTCCGCACACTACGATGGGATACCCAGGACACCTTTGACTCATCATGACCATGCTTCCGCTACGCCAGTTCCATCCCAAACCAGACACTTATCTCCGACTATGCCTGTTTCACCCCAAACCAAACACCTATCTCCTTCCCCTACGCTACATCCACACGAGACCGGTCTTCCTTTACCGTCCCCATCTCACACCAGAACGCCTGATTCCGTTCCAATCGAATATACTCATTCTATCCTCTTCTACATATTCCGACACCTCATTCCACCTCTTCTCCTTTTCATCACCCTGTGCAGCATAATCTTCCTGACCCTCCGCCGCCTCAATCTCCTCTGTGCTTCTCCATATTCTCGAGCCTTACGCGCTTCCACCCGCGAAGAACGCCGCACACGCCGAACCTATAGACGCGCCGAACTCCAACACGCCTGGCGTAATTGGTGGAATAGATATCGCCATCCGACCTGCACCAACGACTATGAGGAGAAGCGAACTCTGATTCTAGAGCAGGAAGGTGTGCTAGAAGATGCCATGCAGGATGAGATTCGTGGCCTACAGGTGGCGCAGGAAATAATAAGAGACATGGTCCAAGCCGAGGAAGGGAGATCACAACTCTATCACCAAGCCAACTTTCCTCAACATCAGCAATCGCGACAGACAACGACTGAACACGAAGCAACACCCTCCAGCCAATCATCATCGACAACACACCCGGTCTTCAAAACAATCAATCCGCATTCTTACTCCTTCGCCGGACACCGCCGCTCCACCTCCGCCTCCTCCTCCTCCTCCGAATCAACACCCAGCCTACCACCACCCAGCTACGAACAAGAGCTCGACAGCGACATTGATGTCGTGGACGGGTTCATGTATACAGCTACATTCGGGTCTGGCCATACCCATAGTATGAGCGAAGACGGGGATGGGTACGGCGTTGACACGACGCCGGACAGCAGCGTAGTGGATTGCAGCCCGAGGATGAGCTTTGACACTGGAAGGACTACTCTGACGGCCAAGGAGGGTGACTAATTGATCTATTGGTCTGGCGCGCACACACCTATATCAGCTGTGGCAACCAGTTTTCTTTTGTTTATGCATTCCTGTTGGACAAAGTCTTGGTTGGGAAGCCGCCAACCGTGTTTGTACTTATATTGGAGCGCAGTATAATGACGGAAGACGATCAGCGAGATTACTTTTAATGTAGCAGTTAGCCGGCTACTGGCGGCGCAGTCGTAGCCCCTCCCTCATAGCAGAGAGAGGGAGCAGAGATAATAAAACCCTCCTCCATTCCCTTCAATTACCAAATGAGAACCGAGTCATCTGGAACATACATGGAACTTCCACCCTTTCTCTTATTGCTACTTCAATCATCGACCTGAATCATGACACCTGCCACCACTTGGGACCGCACCACACACCTATGGCCGCAGCTAGTAGTCAGCTGCCTGTCTGCTCGGACATGTCATCAATAATGCTCATATGATGTTAATGGGAAAAGACGACTCCATTCCGAACACCGTCGCCGGTCGCATGTAAGTTTTTTCCCCCGTAAAATCTGCCAAGTCATGACACCATGCCAACCATATGTTAAGACAATGATGAAAAGATATCTGGAACAGAAGCGACTGACAAATCTGAGGCTGGGCTCGGTATGTCCGATCCAACCGGACATCAACGAACGGGAAGTAAGAAAGCAACATCATCTTTTCTTTCCTAGCTCTGCCGACAGGCAATCCAAGATCTACACCAAGGAACACTATTAGCAATTTTGGTACACTTGCAACACCCCACGTGGGTCCGACAAGGAGAGAAATGGAAAACTCACCTTTGCACTTATAACTCCCTGATTATACAGATACTTGCCCAGCCCTCTCACCACCTCGACCTGCTCTTCCACGGTCAACCCGTTGATCGCGCTCTCAATCACGCTCCCCACTGTGGCCTTGTACACGGCGATAAAACTCTGGTAGTACATAAAGGCAAAGAAGCCCATGATGAATTGGCAATCCATCCTGTCGGTGATGCCGCCGTGTCCGGGAATGCTGTCTCCGAAATCTTTGATCTTGAATGTGCGTTTGAGGCCTGAGGCGAAGAAGCCGCCGAAGGGTGCGATGAGGGAAGCGAACGTGGCGAAGACCATGATGTGGAATTGCATGGGCGCGATCCAGAAGGTGTAACTGATGTGTGTCCAGGCCGGGAGCTGGTATGGATACGGTGTAAAGACCGGGTTGGGCGTGCATTCCAATCCCGTCCAGAGATTCGCGCCGAGGTCGTTGACGGGGCAGATGAAGTATTTATATCGCATGAGGATATTGGTCATGAAGAAGCCGAAGATGATGGTGCAGATCCATGCACCCACGAAACCTTCTACGGTTTTCTTAGGGGAAAGCTTGATGAGCTGTGTGCGGCCAAAAGTGATGCCACAGATGTATGCGAAGATGTCATTCGTGATGACGAGGCTCACAGGTAAGAAAAACCAGATCATCCCCTCGAAAATGTTGTTCATGATGAAGTGGGCTTGGACGACGATCAGATAGAGGGCCATGTGCGTCCAGCCGAACTGGGAGAATTGGAATCTGTAGTGGCCCTTTTTCAGGGAGCCGACGAAGGAGACGAAGCCCATGACATAGAGCATAAAGCTAATGAAGCGGTGGTGGGTTGCGAAGGGGAGTAGGACTTTATCTACCAGGACGATGTGTTTGAAGTAGTAGATGACGCTTTCGCCGTAGAGGAAGTACATTGTCGTTGCAAGGAAATACCAGTTTAGGGACTTGGTGAGGGGGAGATTCTTTGCTTTGGTGGGTACAGAGGAAATGGCGATGACTTCTTTGAATGAGATGATTTGTACGGCAGTGACGATCGCGATGATATATATATGGCCTGCGAACATGGATGCGAAGAAGAATGCTATCATAACCAATGTCCATATCGTGCGTGTGATGAAGGTCTGCTTCTTTTTCTCGTAGTCTGACGCCAGTGGCTTCTCCTCGACTATAGTCTCTGCCTTCTTTATTGTGCCATTTCTTGTGGGACTCCCGGGTTCTGACAAGCTCTCACTTGCGTCAGAAATACTTGGTCGTCGGTGCTCTCGGTGTCCGTTATTGCCTCTATGTTGAAACTGGACGCCTCTTGGCTTTGCCATGATTGTCTCGACTCGAAAAGATTCTTAGTAGCTCCAGGATGCCTCTAAGTGTAAATTTTTGCTTCTAGGAGACTTTGAGCCTCTGTAGTTGGTCTGCGAGTTTAGACGTCGAGCTTAGAATGCACGTGTCGAAAGATTCGCCAATCTGCGAGAGGTGTTGGAGTACTCTCCACTGCCAACGATGAGGACCAATGGCTTGGATCAGCAGAATCGACAGAAGCCTTCCTTCGTCTGCATAGAAGGCAGAAGCAGCAGAGGTGAAGGAGAATCCTGAGTGCAACAATGTAAGTTGATTTGCGCTGGCTTTGCAATCGTCTTGGCTGGTGGAGCTACGACGTCAGGCTGCGTGGGACAAAGTCATAACTAAACTACGTAGTAATAGCTATGTAACTAAGAGTGCGGAGCGGAGGTTTTAGGTGCCGCTCCCGCCCACGCCTAATTACACACTCCGTAAGTACCCTGGAAACGGTCAACCGCTGGTTGAGTAAATATCTACTGATAGTGAATGAGGGACGCGCAGCGAGGAGGATACATTGCCTTCCATGGAGGTATATTATGAATGGCATGGACGACAACGAAGAAGAGGACAACTTCTTCGCGGACGATTTCGACGATTTACCTGACAATGCCTGGGACGAACTCGAACAGAACGCAATTCAATCGACTCAGCATCCACAAATCGATGACACCAAGCAGCAGACAGCTGTGGGACCGAACAGCTACCTCGGAAACGTAGTCTATCGAAATGTAGCACCTCCAAAACCCGCCAGACAACCCTTTCAGCTGCCCATCAACCATCAATTTCCACAGCAGCAATATGCACAAAGACAGCCATATGTTCAACCAACCGATACTAGTGTCTACGAAGATAACGACATACCAACTCCAGTCGAGGAGAGGGAGGTCTACTTTCATCAGAATGCAGGAGGGAATGTCACAGAGAGAGAGCAATGGCGGCAGCAACGGTATGGAGAAGCAAGCCGACCTTCCAAGCAAGCAGCTATCGCGTATGAACAGCCTTACACGCGAAATTTTGAAGAACATGAGTTGAATGAGCACAATCTCGATATGGATGTGGACCGCACAGCTGCGCTGAACTCCGTCAATGACCAACAGTCAAAGCAGCAGCATGACTCGGAGCGAGAGGAGGCACTTCGGTCACAGATTGCTGAGTTACTCCGCGAGCGAGACGACCTAACAAAGGAACTTCAGACAGCAAAGTCGACTGTCATGACACAAATGGGAGAGATCTCAATCATTCGAGCAAATCAAGCCAAAGATAGTACAGGGTTTGATAGACAATTGGTCGCTCTCAAAAAGTCTATACAGGAAGAAGCCGAGAAACACAAGCGAGATATCGAAGCTACAAATAAGCGGAGTGAGAAGATTTCCAATGACAACCAATTCTTACAGCATGAACTGAAGGAAGAACTGGAGAAGATTAAAGCGCTTCAGAAGAACTTAAGAGACAAGGAAGCCCGCCTAGCCAAAGGCGATAGTACGGAAGGAGTCACAACTCCCAAAAAGACACGGCAACTACCACTTAGGGACGGGTTTGACGATCAAGATATTGCGATTGTCTCTCCTGTCAAGTCTGGTAGGAAGTCCAAGCCTGGAACACCGACTAATGCGGGCAAGAGGAAGCGCAAAGTGCCTGATGCGAGCCCGGTACCAGCTCTTACATTTCATGATTTATCCACCACACAAGCGAAGAAGGTGGATGGCCAGCCAGAAGAGCCTGTCAAAAGAACGGAAAAGGCGCTTGTCATTCGAAAGGACACTCGAGTCAATCAAAGCTTGCAGTTTATGCAACGTATGCTGAATCACCGTCTGGCTCCAACAAAAGATAGAATACTGGAAGTATTCTCTCAGTATGCCTTCCCCTCGGATACGAAGAAGTCGTTCACATCGGTTGTGTTGGAAGAGTCTGCATCATTGTCTGGTGAAACATTGCCATCTGGATTTACCAAAATCATTATCGCTCTCTGGGCACAGGCTCTGAAAGAAAAGTACTACATGCCCATTGCAGCTTTGATAGAGGTTGTGCAGTTTATCCTTGCTCTCGAAAGCTCTGTCATGAATTCAGGCGTTATCCAAAAAATCGTCCCTGTCCTTCAGTCATCCACGGATGTCAATGGCACCGTACGATTCAACAATTCTCCTGTATCATCCCAGAACTTTGGTCAGTCCAAGGAGACGCCCAAGTCCGAGCTCAACGATGAAGTAGATGGTACTGAAACCCTGGACATGCTCTATACAATCGCCTGCTCCTGCGTCCGTAAACCCAAGCTCATGGAAGATTTGTGGCGAACAATTGACTCCAACTCCATCCTGATGATGCTCAACGTCGCCCAACCCATTACCGACCTCACCCTCACCCTCAACCTACTTGCCACAAGCATAACGCCCACCACCTTCGGCACCATCAAGTCCAACGAAACAGACCAGCAAAAAAACGAACGCTACCTCGTCGACCGAGTCGCTTACCTCCTCTGGGAAACGCCGCGAGTCGACGAAGGCGCCCCCCACCCGACCAAACACGCCACCTACCAACTTCGAATGGAAGCGCTCTCCCTCCTCTCTACACTTGCCTTCTCCTCACCGCACCCCCACAATGACCCTTCCCATCACGGCTCCCTCCTCCTAGCAACCCACCCTTCCATCATCGGCCGCCTGGTGCGCTTCATCTACGACACCCTCGATGCCCTCTACGCCCCCATCGAACCCGCATCGCCCCTCCATTCTCTCCTCTCATCCCTCATCAACCGCGCCACCTTATTACTCTACCGCCTCCTCGAGCTCCACGGCAAAGACATCAATCTGCACGAAAAGCTAACAGCGATCAGCGGCGGCGTGCAGAAACACCGTGTCGTGCTCACCAGGTTGGCGTTTAGTGAGGGATTGCATCTCGAGAGTGGCATCACCGATGAGACGGTCGCCATGGCGCATGAAATGTTGGAAGAGGCGGTCACGCCCGAGGAGGCGGAGGCCTTGATCGAAGTCTTTCCTGGGTTTAAGGGGAGGGGAGGTGGCGAAGAATAAGGCTGGTTTGGTTATTGTGGTAAGGGGATGGGAATCAGTGATTGCTGCTGCTGCTGCAGCTGCTGCTAGTAGATCTCTGGCCCGTCACTACAGTCGGGGTTCATCCCATTTGGCTTATTTGAAGGGCTTTATAGCATAGCGAGGCGCTGAGAAACTCTGATGTTTTCTTGTTAGTAGTGATAAAGATGTGTCCCAGCTCTGTTTATCACGGGATCAGGATTCAATGATATAAACACATATATATCTGCTTGCCTCATCTGAGCTTCGCCATATTCTGAACGTTGGGTTCACGAGCAGATCCGAAGGGCTCTACCTGATTTAGTCTAACTTATCCGTACATCTCGCAGTCCTTCCATAGCTCCAGACAGAGAGTGTGTAAATGGTGGGAAGTCAGTGAGAGAGGGAAGTATGGTAGTACTTGCGCTCCACGCGAGAGGTATCCGCAATGTATTCCCGAGGCACAATGGACGGGATGGAAGGGCCGTTCTGAGTAGGAAAGATACAACCTACAATCGTTGAACTCTATTTGACCGGTTCCTTACTGGATGGCTCAATCGTAGAAGAATCGAGACAACACATGACGCCACGGCTTTGGAAATGCTACCAACAGACAGACAGACGGGATCAGAAAGATATACCCTGATTTCCCCAATTGCATCCCATCCCGCTCCAACCCACCCCACGCTAAGCCAACCCAATCAATAACGTCGCCAGATCCGCCTTACTATACTTGACCGTCTTCCCCTTCCCCTTATCTACCTCATGATACCGATCCCAGAACCGAGCATACAGCGGCTCGATCAGGGCCTGAACCTCCCTGCTCAGCGCGCTGCGCACCTCCCTCTCCATGTACAGACTCTTGTGCCTCGCGACCATCTCGTCGAAACTGGAGTTGAAAGCCTTGAATTTCTCCTTGATCTTGTCGCGGTCTTTGCTGGAGAGGGCCTTGACAATGGTGGCGCTGTCGATGGCGCTGCCGCTGACGGGCCGGTTGGCCGCATTGCCACCGCCGCTGCTGCCTTGTGGATTGGAGGTGCGGGAGGTGTATTGCACGTCGAGAAGGTAGGAGGAGGGGTCTTTCCAGGCATCGAGGTAGAGGGATGAGGCCTTCTTGCGCCAGGTGTCGAGGCGGGCGAC